AAATCAATTCATTGATGATTGAAAATTCAGTGCTGATTGAGAGACTCCACGTCCTTCACCTCCTGTTCCGTTAATTGAAAGCTAAATAAATCGACATTTTCTTTGAGATATTTGGGAGTATTTGCTTTGGGAATAACGATGACATTCCTCTGGACCTGATATCTCAGAGCTATCTGTGCGGCCGAGACGTTATGTTTTTGTCCGATTGCTATGAGTTTGGGGTCTTTCAGGAGGTTAGGGTCGTGTCGGCCACCGATGGGCGAGTATGCCGTGAGTGTGATGTTGTGTGCGCTCAGGTAGTCGACGAGTTTCTTCTGAGTTCTGTACGGATTGCTAATACACTGGTTGGTGACCGGTTTTATGGGACCCCCCTCTGTGAGTAGGCGTCCCACCTGTGCCTCATCGAAGTTGGACACACCTATGGATCGGCTGAGGTTGGCGTTCACCACATCACTCATCCCGAGCCACGTCTCCACGATATCGATGGGCTCTTTTCCGGAGGACGGGCTGTGGATGAGGTATAGGTCGAGGTAGTCGAGGCCCAGGTTGGCCAGGGATGTCTTAATGCCTTCGGACACCCGTTTGCGCGCGTGATAGTCGGTCTCCAGTTTGCTGACTATAAACAGGTCTTCCCTCTTGATTTTGCCCGCTTTGAACACATCCTTCAACACCCGTCCGATCACTATCTCCGACAACTCTTTGGTGGTGTCGTCCTTATAGTTAAGGGATGTGTCGATATGTCTGTACCCGTCGTCCAGTGCGTCGCGTACGGCCTGTTCGCTGATACCCATCGCACCCAACCCTACGATTGGCATTTTGTGCCCATTATTCAGTATAACGTCCGGTATTACGGCATATGTACTGCTTATTAAAAGTACGACCAAAATGGCTATAAATCTCAACATTTTTACTTCAATTTAATTTCTTTGAGATTTATTTCAGACACTCTATTAGTGTTTGAAAATAATTTTCTTATTTCTTTTATACAAAAAAATATTATTTAGTCTACATTTGAATGTTAATCGTATGGTTTGTGGGATTAGATTGTATAGTACCTGAGTGCTTTTATAAAATGTCAAAAATAGATAATTATTATGGTTTTGTGCCAATCAATGAAAGTGTGATTGATTAATAAAAGTGAACTTTGTGTGATTTGACATTTGTTTTGTGTACTTTTATATTATATTTCATTGGGGGTATATTTTAATACCTGTATAAAAATAGCTATCATAAAAATGATTGTAAGGACTTGCGGACCTAAATTGTGAACAAATTCAGTTCAATATTAGTACACTTTTATTTCATTATACAGTATAACCATATTACTTTCCAAATATTTTGAACCAAGTAGCAGGGTTTTAAATTTATTATAACCTTAAAATGCATTATGTTTTAATAATGTTATTAATTTTTATTTTGATGTTTGAATGCCAAATTAACTTTTCTGGCTAATTTTACACATTTTATACAGCGCTGTTTGTAAGCGGGTATTTTTATAATACGTTTTTACACACTCATTGAGTCCATTTTAAATACAAACTCTTATTAATATCCATTTATAGACTTTAACAGCTGTCTTACACATTATTTATACCGGAAATTAGTTTAAAATTAGTCTTAAAACTATATAACTGTAAGTAGCTTGAAATAAAATTAATTTATCTTATAATATGGTCAATGAAATAAATTATTACAATTTTTACAAATATAATAATTTATTACTTTTATCATGAAACATTAAATGATTTTAATATATTAATAAATAAAGTTTAAAGACATAGATTTTAAGTCTATTAATTTTAAATTTAATTAACCTTTATTATAACTTACAGTTTAATTACCCTACAGTTTGTTGAAGAAACAGTAGGCTAACTACTAAAGCACTTATAGGAGGGAGCTGGTTAAAATATATAATATTTAAAAATTAAATACATTATCAAGTTACTATTATTTTATTATAACGACCAAAATGTCTCACATGAGTTAAATAAACTCTTAAAAGTAATAAACTAATTAAAATGGTTTAGTGTTTGTTGAGTGCCTCGACATCCTTGAACTCCTGGTCCGTCAGTTTCCACGAAAACAGATCCAAATTCTCTTTGATATATTTGGGTGTAATTGCTGAGGGAATAGTGATGACTCCCCTCTGGACCTGATATCTGAGGGCCACCTGAGCGGCCGACACGTTATGGCTCTTCGCGATCTCAATGAGTTTGGGTTCTTTGAGGAGATCCGGGTCAGTGATCCCACCCAACGGTGAATACGCGGTGAGAGTTATGTTATGTTTCGTCAAATACGACAACAGCTTAGTCTGCGTTCGGTAGGGATTACTAATGCACTGATTGGTGACGGGAACGACACCTTTGCCGATCAGTTGATCCAATAGTTTCTCATCGAAGTTGGACACACCTATCGATTTGGTGAGCTTGGCCTCTAAGACGTCATTCATGCCCAGCCAGGTGTCCACGACCGACACATTTGCCGGTTTTTCAGAATAGGGTGAGTGTATGAGATACATGTCCAGGTAGTCGATGCCCAGGTTAGTGAGGGACTCCTTGATCCCAACCGGCACTTTGGTGCGCTCGTGATCCCACGACTCCAGTTTACTCACGATGAACAGGTCCTCCCTCTTGATTTTGCCCTCTTTGAGCACTTCCTTCAACACCTTTCCGATGATCTTCTCCATCGCCACCTTCTTGTCGGCGTCTAAATAGATGAGTGAAGTGTCAAAGTGTCGGTACCCGTCGGCCAGGGCATCGCGTATGGCCTGTTCGGTCACGAAACTGGTGCCGAACCCTAGGATTGGGATTTTTTGACCATTATTTAGCAAAACGGTAGGTATGACCACATCTGCACTGATGTAAGTGCTTGCAATGCAAACTAAAAGTATGAGTGATTTAAACATTTTATTTTTAATGTTTTTACTAACTTTCAATTTTAAAT